CCGCGCCCCAGGTGAGCCCCGGGGTCTCAGGTAAGGCTCCGCGATACAGGTAAGATTCCCTCGGTGGAGATGAGGTCTCAGCGCCCCCAGGTGAGAGCCCCTCCGCTATTAGGTAACCTCCACCTTCAGCAGGGCCTCCTGCCTCCTCCAGGTGAGGGACCTTCTCTCCAGGTGAACTCCCTGGACCCCAGAGTAGCCCCACCCGCAGTCCAAATGAAGTCTTAAGGATCTGCCAGTTCCTAACTCCCTGATCTGGGACTGACAGTCCATCCACTCTAAAGCCCCTTCCTCCAGCTTCAACTGCCAGGTCAACAGGGGTGAAGCTGGAAGCAGGTGGGTGACTCACCTTGAGCTCCTCCTAGCCTCAGTTTCCCTGCTGATGCAACCTGAGGCCTCCTCACTGAGTCAAAACTGAAACGACTCTGGTCCCTGGCGAGGCTGCTGGCTCTGGGGAAAGGAGAGAGCAGCCAAGTGTGACAGAGAGTCCCCATGGCTCTGGGCGTGCCTGCATGTGTGTGGCCTGGGTCCTGACAGCCCACCTACTCCCTCCCTGGCAGGCACTGGGCTCCCTCTGCTCCCCGTGGGCCGCTCCCCGCGTGGGGCCACTGCCCCTGGCCCCCGCCATGGTGCGGATTTCAAAGCCCAAGACGTTTCAGGCCTACTTGGATGATTGTCACCGGAGGTATAGCTGTGCCCACTGCCGCGCTCACCTGGCCAACCACGACGACCTCATCTCCAAGGTAACCAGGATACAGTTGAGGCTGGAATGGGAGGCTAGATGGGCTGTCTGGCAGCTCCCCACCAGTAACCCTGACCCCCTCCTCTCCCCTTCCCATCCTTTAGTCCTTCCAGGGCAGTCAGGGGCGTGCCTACCTCTTCAATTCTGTGTGAGTATCTGGCCCCCTCCTTTCTTTTTCCTGACCTCTGTTGTGACCTATGACCCCTGGTATCATGCTGAGACTCCCAGAGTCCCCTGGGTCAGGCAGGATACCGTGATCACCCCTCTCTTGGAATATAAGGCCAGATGCAGTGGATACAAGCTGGAGGAGGGCTCTGCGATGGTGGGACACTTCCTGAAACTGCCCCATGTCCCTGCAGGGTGAATGTGGGCTGCGGGCCAGCCGAGGAGCGGGTGCTGCTGACAGGCCTCCATGCTGTCGCTGACATCCACTGCGAGAACTGCAAGACCACTTTGGGCTGGAAATATGTGAGTCAGTTATTTTTGACCCCATGGTAACCTTTGACCTGACCTCACATCACCTGTTTCTCACAAGTGGTCAACTGGCAACTTTTCAGAGTGCATAGGCCCTCAGAGAGAAGCCAAACTGTCTTTTCAGCTCCTGACCATGTTTTCTTCTTTTGCATTCTACAGGCACTTGTAGAATTTTTCTCATAACCCACCCCTTCTTTCAAAGGCATCAGCATCTCTGTTTTAGAGATGAGGAAATAACCATTTCCTCATTTATTGAATGCTTATATACTGTGCACTTTTATGTGCCTGGCATATATTTCCCAGAGATGTTAGGTAATTTGCCCAAGACATAAAACTGATCAGAATAGGAATCAGAATCCTATTCGGTTCTTTTTTGTTCTTTCTTCTTAACTCCAAATCCTTGCCCACTGGCTTATATTATCATTCAGAAGATCAAAGAAGTTGCTCAAGACCCCAGAGCAACATGGAACTTGGGTCCACAGGCCTTCTCTTCCATTGCCACATTGCCACTGCTGCTGTCCAGGATCTGATTTCACTGCCCTGAGTCTCATTTCCTTATCTGACATTGGAGGATAAAGCCACCACCTGGCACCCAAGATTGTAACAGGGATCAGATTAGACGTAGCAAAGGAAGATGCTCTTGGGAATCTGTAAGGTACTGAATTGGGCAGGCATTGTTTGGAATTCCTCTGTGAAGTGAGTACCCCAGATAAAACAGACAGTCTGACCTGAGCAGTTCAGCTCTTGTCCCTGCCACACATTTGCTGTGTGTCTCTAGACAAGTGGCTTGGCTTCTCTGGACCTCTGAAAAATAAAGAGGTAGCCTAGGCTAAAGATTAAAAACTCAAGTTTTTGAGGCCAACCAGATAATGTGGATTTGCAAAAGGAATAACAGAGAGGAAGAGCAGGCTAGGATAAATGGGAGTAAGCATGTGCGCCTATAGTATATTAAAGTTTTGGGGATTTTGTTTGTTTGTTTTGAGGCACAGGGATCAAGCCTCTCACATTCTAAAGTTATTTTCATGAAATTCTGTTATCCAAATAAAACCATGTGTAGGCTGAAATGGCCCTCAAGCCACCAGTTTGCTTGAGGACTATGAAATCTTTTAAATATTTCCATGTCTTCTCTGTTGAGACTGTCAGTGCTTAAAAAGTACCCATGATTCAGAGTTCTGTCTACTTCTTATTAGTGAGGAACAGCTCTGTGTCTGTGGGCAGGTAGCTTGGCTTCTTTGGGACAGTTTCCTCATATGTAAAATGGGGCCAATCAGATCCATTCCCCAGCCCTGTGTCTATGGTAAAGCTCTTGCTTCCCGCCTCCTTTTTCAGGAGCAAGCCTTTGAGAGCAGCCAGAAGTACAAAGAGGGGAAGTACATCATTGAACTCAACCACATGATCAAAGACAACGGCTGGGACTGACCCCTGCTCCTGACGCATGTGGCTCCAGCCTGGCCTGGCCGCCAGGGGGCGCCACTGGCTTCCCTCCTCCTGAAGGGAGCTCTGGACCTTCAGGGCCCCGCAGAGGAAGAATCCAGCTCCTGTACATATATTTTATTGCATGCACTGTGACCTTGGGGGGAGATCAGAAGGGGGGACGACACCCCCGCATTTCCCTGCGATCTGGCTGGCTTGGATCTCGTTTTTAACCCCTTCCAGTCCCGCCTGCCCCATAGATATGGCCTGTGTGCTGCTCTCTTGGCCCCAGTACACCGTCTGCCCTGTGAACTTCTCCCACCGAGCCCCTCTTACCCCACGCACGTCTGTTCCCCTCGTTCTGTAGCGTTTGTATATAATAAAACAATGAAGTGGCGACAGCCCCAGGCTCACGTGGAATCCGGGAGGGGGAAACTGGAATAAAGACTCCTGCCCCTATAGACCTGTTCCGTTCCGGACCCCAACGGGGCATGGTTCAGGCATGGCCTTCCAAGCTGGTCTCCACTACCTGTGGGATCATTGAGCCCACACTGGCCCTAGGCCTTGACCTCCAGTGATCTACGTCGTCTTGCGTTAGTGCTTGGCCGCCGCCTAGAGGCAGGTCTCCTGGGAGGATGCCAAGCTGCCCGCTTCACCGCCCCCCTCGTCCAGCCTACAACTCCCAGAGGCCCCAGCGCAGTCTACTTATCTCCTTAACGCGCGCCTTCGCACAGAGTCTTCTGGGAAGTGTAGTTCCGAGTATGCCGAGGTTGGACCTTATGGGCAACCCTGCGCTAGAAGTCGAGACTGTAGAGCTACATGCGTCCCTCAACTTTTGAGACTTGGTGAAGGGTAGAGGTTTTTCAGAATGGGGACCAGGAAGGAATGGGTTCAGTTCTCTGCTGTGGACTCGTCGAGGTCTCCAGTGTCCCAC